TGTCTTGTGATGATTCTAAGTAAGGAAACACAGAGAAAATGACAGGGCATGGCTAGAGGAGCCAACCTGAAGGAACTGCTAATGGCCAAATCTGGGAAAATCTGAGCCACAAAACAAATCATGATATTATTAGAGTAGAACCTCAAGAGCCAAATAAAGATCCACACTGATATTTAAAAAAACTGAATAAATAAATACATAAATGGGGAAGAAAGTAAACTCTTCCTTAGGAATTCCAGTGAATAAATAAGAATTTATCACTGGATAAAACTCACCGTTATGGGTGCTACAGGCAGGAGCCATCAACTGATGCAAAAATTAGTGGGTGAAAGCACGATGAGAAACAGGGCGTTTGCATCATTTCCAAGTATCTCCCAGCAAGACTAGTTATGTGTGGAGTACAGAGGGAGGCACGGCAGCTTTCACGTGGGAAAGCGGGCAGGCATGAGCTTGGCCGTGTGCTCAGGATCAACATCGCGCATACAAGGCGCGTCAGCGTCCCCCGCAGGATGCCCTGAGGAGGACAGGGCACCACTTCTGTGGTCTTCTTGCCCAGAATGCACACGCGTCTCCGTCTTCTCATGAGAAAAGATCCACCGCAAATGGAGTGACACTGGCTTGTGTCAAGGTCATCAGGGACAGAGACATTGAGACACTGTCACAGATTGAAGGATGCCAAGAGAACACCATGAAATGCAACGTAGGATGCCAGGTTGGATCCTGGGAAAGGGGCTATGTCGCTCCCCGTCTTCGTGGAGGAACGACACAGGACCCTGCACTGTTCTTTTGTCTGCTCGGCCCTCCCCGGGTTTGCTGCTGGTTCTTCCCGGGTTGGCTACCGACCCTTCCACCTCCGTGGAAGGGCGGTTCCCCCTAGCCACTCTCCCCACTTCCGCGGGGGAGCGGCACACCGCCGGCCGGCTCTCTCGGGGGCTGCACAGGTGTTCCTTCAGATAGATGTTCCCCTTAGATGTTCCTGGTGCATGTTGTCTCTCTCCTCCTTTATAGTCCTCTTCCACCAATCCCAACTCTGCTACCCACACGCCGAGTACGCTGCTCTCCTCCAATCAGGAGCAGGTCCTACAGTTTATTGGTTGAACTGGAGGCAGCTGTGTAGAAGCTGTTTCCTCCTCTCCCAGCGCCATATTGTGGGAGAGCAGATGCATAGAATAAGTCTTAATTCCAGTAACTTAGTCTAGTCCGAGTTGCTCCCCACAGGGCTATAGGTGAGAACATCCATAAAATTCAAATAAGGGCTGTAGATTAGTAACGTGAATCACACCAGTGGTAATTTCCTGCTTTATAATTCTACTTTGGTAATTTGAGGACACTTCAAAAAGTTCATGGAAAATGGAGTTGAAAGGTAAGTTTATTTGGTGCATTTTTTTTTGAAATCCATGCATAAGAAGGGTCTTCAAAAAATTTCACAAAATATGTATTGTAAAAACAATGCATAGATTTTAAAAAATATTTTAAAGATTTATTTATTTATTTGAAAGGCAGGGTGACAGAGACACAGAGAGACATAAAAAGAGAAAATCTACCTGCCAGTTCACTCCCCAAATGACTGCAATAGCTGGGCCAGGGCCAGGTTGATGCCAGGAGTCGGAAGCTCCATCCAGGTCTCCCACACGGATGCAGGGGTCCAAGACACCTGATCCATCTTCTGCTGCCTTCCTGGGTGCATTAGCAGGGAGCTGGGTTGGAAGTGGAGTAGCCGACACTCAAACTGGAGCAGCAACATGGAATGGCAGTATTGTGAGTGGTTGCTTAACCCACTTTGCCACAATGCCAGACCCTGAAAAAATTTTGTACCAAAATAAATATCTTTTAATTAGATTTTCCATGAACTTTTTGAAGTACCTTTGGATAAGCTGCTAACATCAGAGGAAACTAAGTAAAAGTCTACATGAGATACTCAGTATAATTTTTACAACTTTGAAAAAAGATATTTTAAAAATTTATTTGAAAGGCAGAGTGACAGGAGGTAGGGGGAGGTGTGAGAGAGAGAGAGAGAGAGAGAAAGAGAGGGAGAGAGAGAGAGTGACAGAGAGAGAGAGAGAGAGAGAGAGAGAGAGAGATCTTTACCCACTGGTTCACTCTCCAAATGGTGCAACAACCAGGGCTAGGTTAGACAGAGTCAGACGCCAGAAGCTCCATCCAGGTCCCCATGTGGATGGCAGGGGCCCAAGCCCTCAGGCACATCAGCAGGGAGTTGGCTCAGAAGCAGAACAGCTGGGGCTCGAACTGGCGCTCCAATATAAAATGCCAGTGTCACAGATTGATGACGTAACTGCTGTGCCACAATGCCGGCCTCAGATTGCTTATTTTAAAGTCATTTGGATGGTTTTCCTCTGTGTTAAGGTTATGCCACCAACAGGATACATCGTTAGATTCATTTGTTTCATTTTTCTTTTCTTTTTAGAGACACATTTTACTTTAAATTTTATTTTGCAAAATATTCACTGGTTCCAGAATCCAATCTGTAAAGTAACAATATTTTCTAAGAAGTTTACCTTCTACCCTTCCCTCTTACACATGATTTCCTCACTCTGCTTATAGATAACCATTTTTTAAACAATGTATGGCTTATCCTTTCATTTTGTTTAATTGGATGCACATGTCACATGGGTGTACATACGGATCTATAAGGAAATGACGGGAGGCACGTTTTTGTGCGCTTGTCTCTCGCTGAGTATCTCAGAGCTCACCCCAGCTCAGTGCATGGACATATTCTTCCTTCCTTCTGTAGCCACACACTTTTGCTTAGTTTGCTCCGTCGATCCCTGCCTGACGGGCATTTGGGTTGATTCCGCTCTTTGGCTTTACAAATACAAGGGGAAATCAAAAAAATTCGTGCGAAGATGGAGTTAAAGGATAAGTTTATTTTGATGCCATGGTGAAGTCCATTTAGGAGGGGACACGAGCGTCCTTAGGACATCAGTCATTTGTTTCTGCCAATCTCTCCCTGTTTTCTTCTCTTCTTGTGGTCCTGTCGTCTAGCCTCCCTGCTGCCCTGCCAGCAACGGTGTCACTTTTCTGGAGTAAACCGCACTGCGCTGGTTTCCACCCTGCCTCTCTGAGGACTGCTACACCATCCTGTTCCCCCGTGTCTGTCCCTTGAAGTTGGTGCTCCCCCACGGTCTGTAGTGCCTTTCCCTTCATGACCTCCTTGGTGGCCTTGACCTTTCAGAGAAGTCAGTGAAACCTATAGATCGGAACAGCGTGCACTGCTACCCATACTCAGAGTTGTGCCTCTCATCCCAAGCAGTTCACGGGAACCCCTTCGTGAGCATCAGCTCAAGGACATCTGCTCTCACCTACTCAGGGCTTCCTCGCCTAGGTCCGATGACTCTGAAATCCACACCTCATGCCTGCATCTCTCTGCAGGCCATCCGTGGCAGGTGTTCTGGGGATGTGCAGGATGTGTCTGCAGCTGAGGCTGCTATCCCTGCCCGTGGGTCTGGTCCTCCATCCACGTCGTAATGGGGGGCAGCTGCAGGTGGCTGGCTACGCAAGCCACAGCCCCGGAGACAACCTCCCCTTCTTCCCTGTCATCCCCACATCTGTCAGTGACTCAGGAACAGGAGCAAGACCCCGTACGTCCTCCCACGCCACAGCCCTCGTTCAGAGCACCAGCATCTCTCCCCTGGGGGCTGCTGTGGCCTCCCAACTGGCCTTCTGGCCTCTGGCACCAACTCTCCTCCCCTGAGGGCCTGTTACCCAGCAGCAGGGACAGCCTTCGACACTGCAAGCCGATCATGTCACTTCCTTGTCGACCACTTTCCAAAAACTCCTCCCCGGCCACATAGACAGGTCTTAGCGTGACAACAAAGACCTCAGGTGCTCGCTCGCTGGTGGCTTCCATCTTCTGTCTCTAATTTTAAGCAGGATCTCTGCACTGGTGGGAAGCAGGGAGAGAGCTGATACACAGTTTTATTGTGCAGAGGTCTCCTCAGCCATCCAAGCGAGTTCAGAGGTCACTGAGTAGAGCAGGACCGAGCGTGGGGAACAGCGCCGGGTCACGCACACTGGCTGCTGTGTTTGGGAGGTCCCTCCAGGGGCTGCCGACAGGAGGCAGAGAAAGTCCTGCCCCCAAGGGCCTTAGAGTCCACAAAGGGGACGAGGGGTGGACAGAAGAGGCATCTTCCAAATGCGCTCTTCAAGAAAACAAGCACATAGATGCCCGCCGCACGCCGGGCACTGTACCTCTAAGTAAAATGCAGTTAAATGTCCCAAGAAAGGGCACTGCTGTGGCGAGGTGAGAGGCCGGGTACCTCCAGCTGCAGGGCGTTAGCAAAGACTTCCTGGAGAAGAAGAGCTGGAAGGGTGGGAAGGGAACAGACAGGTGGAGAAGGGGCAGGAAGGGAGCTGCGGCTCCAAGGGGTGGCCCGGGACCCTGCTCTCCCCCGGCCTCCGGCTGCAGCCTCAGAGGAGGCTTTTCAGAAGCCAGAGGATGGGCACTGCTTGCAGTTCTCCACGGTCACATCTCAGACCTTTCAGAGGTCCGGAGGTGCCATTGGCCAGTCCCACCACGCACGTCTGTACTTACCCATCTCACAGGTGCCAAGAGTAGAGTCCAGAGGAATCCAATTAAAATTTTCAAACGTTTGAAGGACTCGCTGCGTGCTCGGCAGTCGTCACAGGGCGTAGAGAAATGCGGACAGTGGTTTTCCTTCCTTTGGGCGCAGCGTTATGGGCTACTGGAGTGCAGAAGCATGCACTTGGCTGTGAGGTGGGGGACAAGAAAGGTTTCTTGAGGGATCTCCAAGTTGAGCAGAACCCTGACATAGGGTTGGATTTGTATGGGTCGAGGAGCAGGGGGTGAGCTCAGCACACATGTGCTCAGGGGACAGTGAGGACGCCCCAGGGGGCCTGGACGTGGGCATCCAGGGAGGTTGCTCCATGGACATAAGGCAGAAGTAAATGGTGGTCCAGATACCGGCTGCTGATAATCACGTCTCCTTGGCCTCCTCTCTACCTGCCCTGTCTTCCGCCAGGACCAGCTCCTCTTCTGCGACGACTGTGACCGTGGCTATCACATGTACTGTTTAAACCCCCCCGTGGCGGAGCCCCCAGAAGGTAATGATGGAAGGGCCACAGCAGCTGCTGTTAGCACCACTCACAGCCCTTGCCATGGTGCAGGCCTCATGCTAAGGGCTTCACGGGTCTGGCTGACTCATCACAACACTACAAGGTAGGCGTGACCACTGCCATTGTCCACACCGGCAGACAGAGGCGGTGTTCAGCCAGCTGACGTTTCAACCCCAGGGCTGAGCAGGTGCTTCAGACGCGAGGCTGCGATGGGGGAGGGGTGAGCTTCCTGGCTCAGCCAAGCTGGTTAAGAGGCACGAGGGTCTCTTTTGGGGGCCCCCAGCCCACTGTCCCGAGAGCTTCCTGGATAGCAGACTTGGTCCCTGATTTGTGAAAACTCAAACAAACGGGGTTCACAAGAAGTCGGGGCCACCGGGGTGGGGCTTCAGAGGCCCTGGAGGGGCTGCTACTGATGCCGTCTCGTCTCCTGCAGGGAGCTGGAGCTGCCACTTGTGCTGGGAACTGCTCAAAGAGAAAGCCTCAGCCTTCGGCTGTCAGGCCTAGGGCCCCAGGTCACAGGCTGTGACGCGCCGCCGGAGAGGCCCAGCCGGAGCCCAGGTCACACCCAGTCAAGTCCTCCTGCCACCTCTCCAGACAGACCAACTGTAAGGAAAATAAGTCACGAGGACAAGGGCTGCCGCTCCCCCGCACCTGTGCCACTGTGGCCACTCCTTGGTTCTGCCAGAGGATCCCACACTTTGAAAACACCACCAGCCCAGCCCAGCCCCGTGGACCCCCTCCTTCCCTGGCACAGCGGTCCTCTCCCTGGCTCCCGCTTTGAAGGGAAGTCATTTTGTGATCGCCTGTCCGTCCCTCGTGTGTGGTTTGGTGTTTTTTAAACCTGGAGCGTCCCAAGACGTCTTCGCACAGACTCAGCTTAGCCTCTTCGTCCTTGGCTCTCACCAGCGCAACCGCAGCCTGTGAAGTTGTCACCTATTTGGCCCCTCGTTGGAAACTTGTAGACCTGAAGCCTGGAGGCCCCCCAACCCCCGCCGATGGAGCCCCTTTTTGTTCCTTGGTTTCTGTGAGAGGAAGGATTTCTTTCTAGAACCCCAGCAGTGGCATCTGCACCCAGGGCTGTCTCAATCCACTGCTTTGGGTCCCTGGGTGGGAGGCGGGCGGGGAGGGAAGCAGGGGCAGAAAGCAGGGAGGAAGCGTTGTGAAGACCAGGCCAAGGGTCTGCCACCCTCCGGAGAGTCTCTGCAAGGGACCAGGCTGGGCCCTTGACCTTCAGAGCTGGGGCATCCAGGACACCCATGGAACAGAGAAAGATGCTCAGCCTTCCGCCTCCCGGTGGCGTGGGCATGGAGGCTTGGCTTCCTGTGGTGGGACCGAGACCCAGGAACAGAGGGGAGGTGGGTCCGAGCTCCGGGCGGGCGCAGGGACTGCAGCGGTGATAAGCTGTGCAGTGCTGGTGTGAGGCTCCGAATCCCTTTCCCGAGCAAGTCCCTCCTCCCACGTAGTGACGGCGTGCCATTGTCTAGTGACCCCTGCCTGGAGGTTTCAGGATGACTTGAGGGCAATGTGGTGTTTGTGATCAGAGTGGCACGCACGAGGGCTGCTCCTGTCCCCAACGCTCCCTGCTCTGTGCTGGACTCTTCGTGGTTTTTGAATGCTTCTAGGAGAAAAAGAGGCCAGGAGGGAGGCTGGTTCCGAGAACTCTGTGTGTTGGAAGACGGCCCTGTGGGCTGGAGCGGATCGCGCGGCCTTTGAATTGCAGCAACAGCACAATAACTGACACGTTTCTGGAAAAATCATTTGCCCAAAGGGCAGGTCTCTGTGAGCGGGACCTTCGCGCATGCTCTGTTCCCGCAGCTCCATCTCTGTGGTCCGGCTGCTTACAACAAAGGCCCAGTTTATTTTTAGTCCTCAGCTCCCGAGGAAGCCCCTGGAGACTCGGGCCAGTGGGGCCACTTCTGCAGTGTGGGCTCTGCCACGCAGCAGGAGCCGTCCTCCCCCGGGCTAATTGCTGTCAGCCCGGGGACCCAGGGCGGCCTGGCCCAGCGCCAGGCAGTGTTGGTCTCCCCCGCTCCTTTGCAGGGTGACCCGTGGCAAGAGATGGGGTCACTCTCCTGCAGGGGCCACTGCATCGGAGCGAGCTGCACACGTGCACACCGATCCCACTTAAAGGGCCCCTGTCCAGATAGGAGTTTCACCCGCTGCAGGACTTCCTCTTCCTGCCGTTGGCTGAGCCCATCTGGATCCTGGAGGACCAGGGACCCCTTTGGGAGGGGCCCCCTCACATCAGAGGGGAGAGTCTCCTCCCCTGGCTGCTCTGGCTCACTCCCTCTCTTCCTTGCAACCCCCCAGGCGGGGTGTCCTCAAAGACTGATGATTGGTTTTGAGATTCATTTTAATTTTAGGAAAAAAAAAAAAAAAAGAACAACTTCTCCAAACATTCCCCATTGCCACCAGACTTCAATGTCGGAAAAGCAAGCGCAAAACCCCCAACCATGGCTCTGCGATTGACAGGTCCTCTTTGGGAGCACGTGCAGATCTGTTCCCCACAGAAGCGCAGGTGACGGGGTGCCCTGCTCTGGCTCCGGCCACACGTGCTCTGCCACAGGAGCTGAGGAGTGGGCTCGGTCTGTGAGCCGCGGCAGCCTTGTCTATGGTGCTGGCACTGCTCAGAGTGACGATGCTCCTCGGGGGTCCCCGAGTTCCTGTCTTGGTTGAGGCACAGGTGCGGACTGGTGTCATTACAGCCCAAGGTGAAAAAGGCCAGCCCCGGCCCAGGTGTGGACGTTGGGTAGATTTCCCTCTTTCTCAAGGGCCCCTGGCTTCTGGCTCCCTGTTGGCTGGGGGTTGGGTTTCTGAGGGCCAAACAGGCAGGAGCCGAGCCCCTGGCCCAGCTGGAAGTGGGAGCGACCTCCAGGCTCCTGGCCGGCTCCCTGTGGATTTTCCCACTCCCAGAGAACAAGTGTCCTTTGAGCTCTCTGAGGTCAGTTGCGGGGGCCCCTCTGGTCAAGGATGGCAGGGGTTGGGGGTGGGGGTGAGGGGGAGAGACAGCGGCAGAGGGTGGCCTGGGTCGCGGCCCACAGCCTTGGGCGGCAGGAATCCCAGCATTGGGCATGGCTGTCACGGGGCCCAGGACATCAGCCCCTGGGAAGCGAGGCGTGGCAGGGGCCTGACCAGTCCTGTCCCGTTGCCATGCCCAGCACCGGCAGAGTGGGGGCTCCTGTGCTCCCCGCTGTGTGTTCCCCTTTCTGGAATCTTCTCCCACCCCCAGGAGCCTAGTGGGAGGGAACAGGGGCTCTCCCGTTCCTCGGGCCGTAGGTAGGCGGGCTCTGCGGCTGGCTGCGAGCCTGAGCGAGCCTTGGGCTCGCCATGGGGACGGAGCCTCTCCAAGAGGCCACGCCCAGCACCCCGAGGGCGGGAAGCGCGGGCTGGACGTGAAGCCGGCCTTCTGGACAGCTGGGGACGGGGGCTGAGAGAGCTGGCGGCCCCCTGGTCGGCGGGAGGGGACAGCCCAGCGAGGGGGAGGGGAGGAGGTCGTGTCGGACATCCTGACCGCGGGAGGGGAGCGTCCCTGGCACCTAGGTGGCCTCTCCCGGGAAGGCCTGGCTGCCTGCGCGCTCTCTGCGCTTGCCCAGAGGAAGGACCCTCAGGACGCTTGGTGGGGACGGGGAGGCCGGTGGGGGTCGCGGGGTCCCGGCCTCGCGTGCTCTGCATCCGGAAGCAGCGGCAGCAGGGCCTTCCCTAGTGAGGGGGAAGAGCTGGAAGCCAGTGGCACCCAGAAAGGCGGTCTCAGTGGGGCTGAGGGGCCCATGGGTCAGAGGGGCAGGGGCGCCCCTCCCTCCCTCGGCTCCAGCGCCACCGCCGGTTGTGGAAGAGCCGGGGGCAGACTTGGGTCTCCCCTCTGCGGCCCCACCAGGAGAAGGGAGTATTGTGCTGATGGCCAGAGAAAGGCAGGAACCGGGACTGGCAGGCAGCCAGAACCCTCTTGGACAGAGATATAATTACTAATAATGACCTCTAGCCCGGGCAGCGAGCAAAATGGCCATTCAGGTCAGCCCCCGACCCAGGCTGGCAACCTGCACTGCTGAGGCAGGCGAGTGGGGGCCGGGAGTGGTCCCTGCAGGAAGTGGGGGAGGACGGGCGGTCGGGGTGCCTATGGGTTCCTTCCCTGGCACCCCGGCCTCACGGCCTCTGGCGGGTCTCCTTGCTGCGCCTCTGTGGTTCCTTCCTTTGTTGTGATGGGATGATGAGAGCAGGCTGAGGACACACACACACCCGTGCTGGCTGCCTCCCAGGGAGCCACTGCACACACAGCCCCCATGCTGGCTACACACACACAAACGCATGCTGGCTGTCCCAGGGAGCCACTGTGCACACACCCACACACATGCACACACACACACACACCATGCTGGCTGCACACATGCACTCACACACACACATGCTGGCTGCCTCCCAGGGAGCCACTGCACACACAGCCCCCATGCTGGCTACACACACACAAACGCATGCTGGCTGTCCCAGGGAGCCACTGTGCACACACCCACACACATGCACACACACACACACACACCATGCTGGCTGCACACATGCACTCACACACACACATGCTGGCTGCCTCCCAGGGAGCCACTGCGCACACACATGCGCACACACGCACACACACACACATGCTGGCTGTACACAGCATGCACACACAGACACACACTCATGCTGGCTGCCTCCCAGGGAGCCACTACACACACATACACACCCGCGCATGCTGGCTGTCCCAGGGAGCCACTGTGCACACCCACACACATGCACACACACATCATGCTGGCTGCCTCCCAGGGAGCCACTGCACATACACACGCACACACACGCACACACACCCCATGCTGGCTGCACACATGCACACACACACCCATGCTGGCTGCCTCCTAGGGAGCCACTGCGTGCACACACACATGCGTGCACACACGCACACACACACCATGCTGGCTGCACACACGTGCGCACACACACACAGCATGCTGGCTCCACACAGCACACACACACATGCTGGCTGCACACAGCATGCACACACACACACACCATGCTGGCTGCATCCCAGGGAGCTACCGGGGCAGCCCCAGGGTGAGCGGGGGACCCTGGAGCTGGCGGGCAGGTGGCCTGCCGCTGAGGTCTTGTCCTGCCCAGCTCCCCAGCCCTGGGGCCCTGTGTGAACGCGGGGGTTGTCAGGATGCCTCTTGCTCTCAGAGCTACTGGCAGCCTGGGTTCTTCCCGTCTCTCCGCTGCACTCCCTTCTGCCGCGTTGCGGGAGATGTTTGGCGACGGCTGGGGACGTGGAAGGAGAAGGTGCCAGGGCTGCCGCTGAGGGGGCGCGAAGCTTCCCGGGCAGACTGGCGGTTGTGGTTTCCTGGGCTTCGTTCCCCTCGTGTTTATTCCCCACCGGGACCTCCAGCTCGTGTCCTCCCGCCTTCTCCCTTCCTGGCACCGTTCTCTCCCTTCCCTCCGCCGTGCCTCGTGCTGCAGAGTGAGGTGGCAGGAGGAGGCAGTGGCATCAAAGAACAAGAACATAGCCCCCTGCACGTTTGCAACTTGCGGTTGAAGAGGCTTAAATTAGGGGATAGAAAAAGAAAGAAACGTTGCTAGATGACATGTGAGTGGCAGTGTGAAAATACAGCAGGATTATCTCAGAGCAGGGGAGCCGGGGAGCAGGTGGCTGGAGAGAGGCAGGCTAGGTAGGCGGGGAGTCCTGTTTACTGGTGCACCTGGGCCACGTGGCAGCTGGGACAGGAGCTGGGTCAGACCTCAGCAGTCAGTGGTCAGATGCTGGAGGAGCGGCTGTGTTCTCTGGCCGCGGAAGGGAGAGGTGTCCACTCCTGTTGGCCACTGCTCATCTGCCAGCCAGGGTGTGCATGTTTGGCCACTGCTGGGTGCTTCTGCACATCTCTCGCCTGCCCTGAATGATGGCTGGGCAGGCTGATCCTGGCTGAAACGCTTGGCAGGACACTTGGCAGATTGTCTTGTTGAGGATGCATGTTCACAGGGAGAAGGTGAGCCGGTCAGAACATCAGGTGTGTCCGCCCTGTTGGAGGCTGGGGGGAAGCATACAGCTGACCTTGCAATCCCCAAGTCTGGCTGCCCTTGGAAGTGCAGGTGTTAGTGAGGCGGTGAGCACACCTGGGCTGGCGTGTGTTGGGCAGCCAGCGGCTGTGAATGCTGCATGCAGATTCCTGGGGTGGAGGATGGGGAGGGGCAAGGGGCAGAGCCAGATTGGAGGTGGAAAGTGGTCCGTACCCTGGCCTCATCCAGTTTCCCCCTAGAGAAAGCAGGGTGCTGGGGTGGGCGCCCCCATGCAGGGAGCCCCCAGCATGGAGACCCCAGTGAGCTGGGCTCAGCCTCCAGGTGCCTGGTTCTGGCATGGCTGGGGTGTGAGGGGTGGGCCCACGTCTGTTGGAGGTGTTTCCAGCAAAGCTTCTGTGCATCCCTTTGGCCAGGTGCCCGTCACATGCTGGCTCCATGCTTTGTTGGACTCCCGGTTGCATGGACAGCACCAGGAGTCACCCATCTGCTTCAGCTTCTCTTGGCTCTGCTCTCATCACAGCTAGGTTTTGGCTTTTGGCTCTGCCCCTGAAGAAGCCCCACCACG